ACCATGTAAAACAGTGCAAAACTGGTCTAAACCCATGTATAACCGTGCAAAACTCTTATAAAACACTGCAAAAACAGTGGCTAACCTTTAAAAAAAGAGGAGAAAATCAAGGATTAGGAGCATTTGGTGCCCCCCCGGGGCCCCCAAGTGTTTTTCCTTAGAAACCCCCTGTTCTGCAGTGGTGTTGGAGATCCCAGGATTGCTCAGGCCGCATGGAATTCAGTGTGTAGGGAAATCTCTGGGTGCTGGGGGTTTGGGGTCCCATCCAGTCTCAGTTATGGGGTTATGGGGTGACATTGTCACCTTGGTCCCAGTGTCAGACCAAGCCCAGGCACTGGTGTCCCTGTCAGGGTGAGGGGCTGCAGGCCAGGCCCCTCCTGCAACCAAGCACCTGGCATTAAATTAAACACAGATTAAGCCCTTTCCAAGCCCAGAACCTCCACCCTGACCTGGCAGTCAGGGTTCCAGGGCTGGGCTCCTTTCCTTCCATCCCTGTGTGCTTTCCTTGGCTTGATTTCTCCTAACGAGCTGCAAAAGTAACACAAATAAATAATCCTCGGGGTCACAGCTGACAGCAGGATCCTGAGACCAGGCCTGAGGAATCTCCACCTTCAAGAGAAAAATGGACAAATGCCGAGGGAAACAAGGATTCCTCCCTCCTTCTGCGCAGCAGGAGCTGGACCTTGTTTAAACTGGGTCCCTCCTCTCCCCAACAGGGTCCTTGTTGATTTTCCTTGGCAGAGGACGAGGGTGGCCTCACATCACAGCTCGGGGTGGTGGAACCACTCTGTGCTTCTCGAGGAATTGCCTGTTTCCCTTTCCCAAATCCTAAAAAATCACAAATCTAGGGGCTTAGGAAGGAGTGGGGAAAAAAAAAAATCCACTGGGGAGATCCCAACTCATCCTTAGGATGGCAGGAGTGTTGGAAACAGACGGTCTTTAAGGTCACTTCCAGCTCAAATATGACTCTATATGAGCCCAAGGGAGGTTTTGCTGCAGAAGTGGCAGCAACAGAGGGCCTGATCCATAAAAATCCCCCCAAAATCCCCATCTGTGTCTCAGTTTCCATTGGATTTGGAGAGTGGGTGGGCAGAGCTGTGAAGGGAAAAGGCTCGGACCCCTCCATGACACACTTTGGGGTTCGGACCCCTGTGACGAGGAGTTCACCCTGCAAGTGGCCACACACGTGTCACAGCCAAGGCAACGTCTCACTGCTTCTGGTGGTCACGGAACCCACATTTCCTCCTCAGTGTCCCTGTGCTTTGCCCTCATGGGTCTTGGCCGTGTAAAGAGTGGGGGAAAACGTAACTCCTGTGTCCCAGCTCCCTGCAGCCTCCCATGCCCATCCCTCCCACTCCCTGAGGCCTCCGTGCCTATTTTTAATACTGTATTTTTAACACTCCTCAGCCCTCCGGAGCAGGGCAGGAGGGGTGGCACAGGGCGCACTGGCTGGATTTCACACCATTCCAAACGACAGAGGGTTCAGGATACGCTCCTCGTTTATCTCCATTTTGCTTTAATTATTTGTGCAGCGCCTCTGCAAATCGCTTCCCTGGGTGCTGGGGACCCAAATTCGAGCCCAGCTCGCTGCTTATCAAGGCCAGAACAAGCTAGAAGGAGGTCAAAGGAGTCAAACCGAAAGTCAGCGGGGCGCTGGAGGGATAAACCGGCTGCTCGGGAATCCCGGCCGGGGCTCCCGCATCCCGCTCCAGCAGCCTCCACCGGGGCTTTGCAGGCCTGATCCTACCCCAGAATTACACCGGGATGAAAGGATGGGAGGAAGGAAGAGCCTCTCAGCCCCTCGGTGTCTGCCCCGGTGACACCGCACCGGGCGCTGGGGACACACCGGGAGCCGCAGTTTGGCGATGAATTGCGCGGCCTGGCCGGGGCGGGGCGGGCCGAGCCCTCCCGCCTCCTCATCCTCGTCCCCGTCCCCGTCCCCATCCCTGTC